TTTTAGCTGTCGAGCAGTTTGCACAAGGCTTCGCGCTGGGGTGCTTACAGGGGGGAGGAATGCGACTACACGGCGCTCAAGAAAGTGCAGGGAGCTCAAACGCACAGGAAGCAAAAGGAAATGCCAAAGTTGCAAAAAAAACGCGCAAAGGAAGTGATGTTCAAATCTCGGCATCTCATCCGAATCAAAGGACAGGGAAGTGACAGAACAGGCAGGGCAGGGTGCCCGGTGGCCGGCTGTGTCGCGTCAGCGTGTAAATAGTATACGGTTTCTATTTTTTTAAAAAATTATGGTGTTGAAAAAGCAACATGTTTGAAATGGTTGCAACATGAGTTTCTTTTAAGGAGCCCTGTTCAACTGGGGGGGGGGGTGTTGGGAATGAGAAAGCACCCAGAGATGGCTCGATGAAAATCCGATCAAGCCCCCCCTTTTTCTCCGGGCCGAAGGCCTAGAGCTGACTTGTACCTCAGTTGTTCAGTGACCCTGGGAAAAAAGGGAACCCTTTTGACACGTGGCGCTTCAATGTCGGTGAGGACATGCGGAAACGCAGGTCACAGGGGCATGCCGCCACCTGAACCGGTTACAACGGGCAACTGGTGCGCCGATGTGCAGGGGGCTATGCCACACCCCACACATGGCGAAATGGGCAGCGGAGTGCTGCATGAGACAAGGGTGCCAACAGAGGTGGCACCCTCAGCCCGGAGGGCTCATAAAATCAGTGAGGTGCCAGGCCAAGTGGGAGGGCCTGGACATCACACTGCACTGGCCACCAGAAAGCGCCAGACCAGAGACTTGCCATTTGCCAGCTCAACAAGACCAGCAATAACTCCACCACAGCTCCGAAGAGGTAGAGAAGAAGCACCACCGTGGACCACCACCAGAAGTAAGTCCAAGCCCGAGCGGGAAAAACAGCTCGGAGTACCTTCACCGAAAAGGCGTTCAGAGGAAAGAAGCAAGCCACGGACAGAGCCAATCCCCATCGCAGAGATTGGAGCATGCAAGGCCAGGGAATCCTACACGGGTACCACGAAGTGTCAGGGCAGCGCCATCGATCTGCAGAATAGGGCCGCCCCATGGAGGACGAGACAGTGTAGACCGCCTGGTAGAAGTAGCCACCAGGAAGTGCCGAGAGAAGACCAAAGAACAGGGCCCATCCCTGCATACAAAGATGGGCACATGCAATGATGCCCCCTCCAAACTGATCCACACCTCGAAGCCAGGGTGAAGTAGAGACAAGTCCCACGAAGTAAAGGAGCCAAGAGCTGGCCGAACAAAAGCAGCGCATCAGTCGAAGGAGTCGACAGGTGTATGAAAATCTTGAGGAGCCAGCAGAAATACACGACATACACCATACAAGCTCGATGAAGAGCTCGACGACAACCAGAGGAACCGAGCGGCTGCCAGGGGAGGCTGCCTTGTTGGACGCCTCACCCCTCCATGGAGAGGCAGCGAGGCCCAGGGGGCTCAGCTCCCAGAACCCAACGGCTCAGTGGCTCACTCTGAGCCGAGAGGGCTAAAAGGGAACCCTTTTTGGGGTTCCATTTTTAGTGGGGCAGCCACAAAAAGAAAGGGAAAAGAGTTGGTGCCACTGAACAACTGAGGTGTAATGTTGACCCCCATATTGTTAAAGGGGCTTATTAATCCTGGGTCAACATTACCCTGTTGGACGTGTGGAGTTAGGTTTTGGGTTTTAGGTGTAGGTATGTGTGTTATTTTGAGGCGCAGGATACTTTCTTTTTTGTGAGGGGGGGGGGGGTAAAGGGAAGCTGAGAAGATCGGGACCAGCTCTTTGAAGGGTTGGTTCCCTTTGAGGCGATCCTAGGGTTGAGGGGTTGGCGGCAGACTCTGAGGCAGACCCGCAAGTGACAACTTGAAGAAAGACCGGTTCCAATCAACTTCTGGAAACCAAAAAGACGTTTCCGGCGCTCCGAAAAGTTGATGTGTTCAGAGGCGCAAGAAAAGTTGAAAGGGAAGCAACAGGTCCATCCGCGGCAAAAGGAAAGCCGCGAGGAAAGACTGCGACTGGAGTGGCACATTTTCAGGAAGGTCAGCCAAGCTGACCAGCAAAGTTCCATTGGTTGAAAGTCGAGAGAATGAACGACCAAAAAGGAAGGGTGAAATGATGGAACACGCCAAAGTTTTGGCAGCCACACAAATAGGCAACACAGAAAAAACACGTTTTCTGCCTCTGTTCCATATTTAGTCTACCCTTCACAAAATGATCCTGGAGGACCCTCCCGAAAAAGTCAAGGTTCTTGTTGAGAAGAACAACCAAATTCAGAGGATTGGTGCAATGGCTCTTCCAGGAGCAGCAACACATCCTCTTTGAAAAAACGACTGTCCGCCAAAAGCGTGCGCCCTCCAAAATTGTGGTTTCCTGGTGGCTTCCCTTCAAAGCCACCCAAAAAGGGTGCCCTCAGAAAAAGACACACCCAAAAGGGTTAAAGCGTTTCAACAAAAGCTATGTCTGGCCGTGTTCTCCAGTTCACCCCAGTTCCAAAAGAAGGCAAGCAAGCCACGAGAGACGGTATCAAAATCCTGCTCCGAATGCGCTCTCCGTGTTAGACTTCGAGGTCGGCAAGGAGGTGTCCATGAAGAATCAAGGCTTTTCCACATATACCAACGAACAAATTAGGATTTGTATGGGCCCGGTCGCCATGTTCCTGGATTTGTAGGGGTCGGAAGTTATTCAAGTCCCGCACAGAGAGTCAGACAGGTTTGTCTTAAAGGGGAACCCACAAAACAGGGCTTTGTGTTCTCCCAACCCTAAAAGGAGAATGTCCCCAACAAAAACAGTAAGCTACCCCTACCTGAAGCTGCGCTTTTCCCAATTGCAATCCAACAAATGTTTCACCAAACAACATCTGGAGGCAACTGACATCTTTAGAACAACTATCAAAAATAGCACCACGCCATTGTTTGGAAAGAGTTTCACATTCCTCAGCTGACAAGTTTGATGAATTCCCTGCAGACTTGCTAGTTGTTCAGAGTCAGATGCGTGGACCCTCACTCCCCATGCATTTTGGTTGTCTCTGACTCTACATCCAAACTAGGTCCTCCAGTGGAGAGGTTAGAATAAGGGTACCCTTGTTTTCTGTAAGTCTATTTTAGTAGGGGAACCCTCCCCAAAAAAGGGTGAGAAAGGGCACTACTGGGGGACCTAGCCAAAAAAAAAACTGACTTCAAACTCGCCCCCTTGGATTCAACCCATGACAAGTTATTCAGCGTCAATGGCCTGCACCGGATCCCTCATGGATTTCATGCTCAATCCCTGGATCGCATGCCAGCCCACGCAAACCCTCATGAGATGCATGCAAAACTTCTTGGCCCAATTCTAAACTAGTACTACCCCCAAACAAAGCAAGAAAAAGCAAAGTGCCCAATACTACTTTAGAACTGGCCCAGTTCAAAACTAGGACCAATTCTAAACGAGTAATCGAAAATCGCAAAAACAGAGCCCAATACTAAACACAACCTAAGCTTAGCCCAATTTTTCCTGACCCTGAAATTCCACAACTTAACTATATATGAGGGCAAAAAAGGGGGGGCCTACTCATTAATCAGAAGTGGGCAGTACCCTCGCCAAAAAAAGACACCCTCACGTTGTCAGTTGCTGTGGAGTTCTTGTCGGGACCCACTCTGCAAGAACCCGGGGTTCAAGCCCCCCACAAACACAATCCAAACCAATAGACGTAAAGAATCAGTTGTGCCACTTTAAAAAGGGCCTAAAAAGGGGAATCCGTCGCAATCCAATCCTGTCCAATCCTGTCGCGAAAAAAAAGGATCTTGTAAACTGAGGGGAAGGTGCTCGAATCTGGGCGAATAGAAATGACACAAACTTAAGAGGCATGGAAGCCGACATAAGAATCGGCGACAAATGCCATGTCACCAGCCTGAACAAAGAAAGGGACCCAGGACCCAACAGGACCAGCGCATTTGTTTTGCAATGATTTGAAAACCTGACATACGACTGGGAAAACGTCCAACACCAAGCGAAACAAACTTAAAAAAGGCCAGGGCAAATGATCTGCCAATTCTATGTCGAGCTGAACAAAAAGGCCCGCGAAAAATAAATCGGGATCCTGGTCCGCGGGGATCCCCCAACTACTTTTTGTTTATCGAATTGTAGAACTTGCAGAATCATACTCACTCACTCACTCACTCACTCACTCACGCACGCACGCACGCACGCACGCACGCACGCACGCACGCACGCACGCACGCACGCACTCACTCACTCACTCACTCACTCACTCACTCACTCACTCACTCACTCACTCACTCACTCACTCACTCACTCACTCACTCACTCACTCACTCACTCACTCACTCACTCACTCAAGTTCGCACGGGGCCGATCACGTGGGCGCAGCTGATTTATTGGGGGGGCAGAATCAGTCTCATCTAAATGGGTCAGACTACATGTTTAGGAATTAATGTGAATCTGCGGCCAGGGTTGCCCTGCTTTTATTTGGAGGACATGAAACGGATCTCAGCTTCCCTCTAGTTGGCGGTTGGGATTGGCGGCTTTGCTCTGGTTTCCCCAGCATCTTCTATGCTGGGGCATTGCGCGGAAGATGTCCATGCTCAATCACTCAAACAGATTCCCTTGGCATCACAGGAAGTGACCCGAGCCCATATCTTGCCACCAGCATGGTCCTTTTCCATTGTTCAGGAGGTCCTCATATATTTTTAAGCCCGCACCTGATGGCCGCCTCCTTAAAAGAAGAAGAAGAAACAAACAGAGCCATTTCCAGGTGTTCCATAACATGTTCTGTGGGTCCTTTTCCATTCTCAGGAACTGTCCCCCCATACTTTAGTAACCCAATCTAATTTGCCGCGGTCATGTTCACATTCAGGACCCTGCGGCTTGCAATTCCTTTCCTACACAAACCCACCGAACTTTCACCGCCCTAGCTGTACCTTCCCCATGAGAACAATAGGTGAATCAATCCCTAGAGAAAGCCGGCGTGAACGGCGTTAACGGAGGCCGAAAGGGCCTCGAGGTAGTGGAGCGCCACCGCTAGCAGCCGTGCCTCCGACAAAGTAGTCAACAGCTCACGCTGCCTGCGACTGAAACCGAAACCGCGTCGAACATTCGACATGGGGCGATCGGGTACCTACTGTGGATGAACGAAATCCTGCACCACTTGAGAAAGCCTGCAATGATGATTTCCTTGTGCATACCAACAACCGATGGTTTCCCATGGCTTCCAAGTGATGCAGGAAATCGTCCATCCACAGTAGTAAGAGGTTCGTGAGCCTGGTTAACATCTACTTAGGATGCTTACTATGGCGTTTGTGGGTATACAACCATGGTTCTTACCCCCTGACTACGCACCCTGCCTTCGCACCCAGTTGGGATGGACGAAACCGGAGTGGAAGTCTGTGATTAACGACCTACCAACCGGTGCAGAATTCTCGTCCATCCACAGTATGGCTTGGAATTTCTTAAAGGGAACAAGAAGGTACTCGGAGTTGATGGGTGTTGCTGGGTTCAAAATGGGGAAAGGGCTAAGATGTTGATTCAGCCTTAGAGCACGTGTAGTAGACCTTAAATCTCAAACAAATGCTCTCTATTCCCGCAGTCTAGAACAGGTTGTGTGAAACAAAATTCAACAAACTATATAACTCTAACCATATTTCGGAGGTGGTACTTGCTTTATCTGGGTCGCTCAAGATACGCTCCGCAGCATCCCACCTCTTGTATCTCCACACAAACACACACAACTCACTGTGATGTCGGATCCTGGCCCACTAACAGTGGAGGCTGGACACTTTCAGGGTCTGAAAATGCTTTCCGGGGTCCCTCCAAGCCACTCTTTGGTTAGTCTCTCCGGCGCCTCTAAAACTGGAGTAGTGCGGCCACAACTTTGGTGGGCGATGACCTCTTCTTTTAGGGCTCCTGGAGAGCCCAAGTTGTACAAATTCAGAAACCGCAAATTAGTAGCTCCCCTAAGGGCGCCCATTGGGTGAGCTCGTTTTCCCCCTAGCTCGCCATAACTTGCTCAGTGTTCGATGCACCTGCGCCGTTCAAACATGGTCCTGTAACTTCTCCAATTCAAGTCATTGTCTTCCAGTCTTCCCTCGGTTGCTTTCTGCTCCCCTGCTAAAAGTGACTAACTTTTAGTGGTTTAATGGAAAACCCATTAGTTGGCAAAAAGTTGAAGTCCTAACATCCCTTGGCAAAATGCACCAAAGTTCCGTTGTCCCTTTGGTTTCTCCCTGATTTCAGATTTTCTTGCTCCGGTGAAGCAACATGAAAGCAAGCTTTCGGCGTCTGGCAGGACTCCTTCGGATACAACACAGGAGCCAGAAACCATTCACCCCATCTCTTTCCACTTCCAACCCCTTTTATCTATACATCATTGAAAATAAGAACCAACCAATTCCACCCTTTTATCCCAAAAGCAATTCAAAGATCTCTTTACAGGGCGCATCCTTTCAGCATGGTGTCATTGATAAGATGGGAATGAAGGGTTAGGAGAAAGAGAGTCATATCCTTTCCTGATGCCTTTCCACGGGCCGAATCTCATCGAAGGTTCCCAATCAGCTTTGCCAAATATCATGTAGAGGCGACGACACGGAACACTTCAGATCTTCCGGAGGTTTCATTAGCTAAGAGGGGAAACCAAAGGATCTATATACCACATTTGGGTGAAAGTAGAAGCAAAGGGGATGACTCAACCCAATGTGGAAATTGCGCCATCTACGCTCCCCTAGAGGGTGTGTTTTTTGGGACCTTTTTTGTCCTGTTTTGTTCAAAGAAAATCAAAAGGGAAACCATCACGGTGCGGATCCAAATCCATCTTCTGACACAATGTATATACAAAAATATTTTCCAGGCCCCCCCCTCCCCCCCCCCCCTGTGGGGGTGGGTTTTGGGCGGGGGGGGGGTGGGTGATTGGGGTGCTGTTTGGTGTTGGTTTAGGGTTAGTTGGGGTTGGTGCAGGATTAGTTTAGGGTAAGTTTAGGGTGGGTTTAGGGTTCGCTTAGGATTGTTCAGGGGAGATTTAGGGTGAGGGTTAGGGTCAAGGGTTCGGGTTGGCTTGGGGTTGGCAGGGTTGGTTCAGGGGTTCAGGGTTGGTTTAGGATGCATGATGTGTGCTTGGACAAGATCCGCTTCGCATCAGTCGATAGGTGGCTCTCAATATTCATAGAGTTTCTTCCATCCCAACGGGTGCGAGGCGGATTTTGCCCGTGCGGGTGTTTCTCCTTGGTGGACCCCCTTTGCTTGAAATAAGGGAAGCCAAAGGACACCCATGGGTCGTTGACCCCCACGCACCAACGAGCCACCAAGTTAACCCTCTCGAGCCGCATCCCCCAACGCACTAAAAATGGATTACGTACCCTTGGGGTTGGTGAAGACGTTGAGAAAAAAACAACACAACTTTTCACCTCCGAAAGGTCCAAGGAACCACCATCCTTTGTGGTCTCCTCGAAAATCAAAAACCGCAGAACCCGGTTAGCTCCTTGAGAACCAGCAGTGTGTGTGCATCCTTGCCGGGTGCGCAACAAAACCAGGAAACCACCCAACTTGGCGGTCCGAATCCCAATTTCTTGACAACCCACATCTAAGATGTGTCCAATACCCTCAACCCACTACTCCCCGCGGTCTTAATATATAGTCTCAGCTATATATATATACATATATTAGCCACTATAGCTACTATATAGAATGCATACACCGCACTTTCCCCTGCAGTGGACCCCTACGAGGATTTGCCATCGACCGAAGAGCCAAGGTCGGACGAAACCCACGGGTAACCGTTGATTTTCAGCTTCAACAATCCTAGGGGTTGATTCCTTGTCCATTCTTTTCAACCATCGTTCTTTTTTCAAAAACCGATCGCTGTTTCCCCAGGGCTTTGGGTGGCTTTCTAGAAAGGAGGATGCCAGGAAAGAATGGGGAAGGTACCCCCTAGAACAATGGCGTTCAGTAACCCATGGATCTCACACCCAAAAAGATTGCCGGGTGCCAAAAAGAAGGGGAAAAAAAAACACAGTCCACCACAAATCGACTCATAGGCTTGCCATGGTTTTGGGCTCAAGTGGCTGGTAACCATGGCAACCCAGCAAAGCCATGGTTGTAAATCCTTTTGGCGGCTGTGTAAACCAGCTTAGACCAGCAATCCAATTTGGAGTTTCCACCCCCTACCTTGACATGCACCTACCTAAACCCATGGTTATACCCACCAAACCCACGATATAGCCACTAGGACGGTGGTGGAACCCATCGACCAACTGCCATGCCCGCCTCTTGTCTAGGTGTGTGGGCCGCATGTTGTGGGAGAGGTGGCAATAGTCGCAAAGATCGCCGTTGGTGCAGCTCCCGGCGACAAAGTGCATACCTTGGCTCACCGTCGGATGAGTCACTTGCTCAAAACTCCCTGCGCCCTGGGGAAGTTCTCATCTTTTACAGACATATAGCCCAGGTTACCCAAAAAGTTGAGAAAAGTTGTGTTTTGGTTTTGTTTTTAAGAGGTAAGCATGAGTCGCTTGCTCACAACCCGGTGCTAAAACGATCGACCGATCGAACCAGGTAAAGAATCAAGAAGGATGTCCGCAGCTATTTCCGGCTGGGACTGGCCAGCTGAACCTTCATCTACCCGGGTTTTGATTGTGGCTCACATGGGTTTTCAGCCCTGGGGCTCGTAGCTGCAAGGGAGACCATCCCTAACCTCCAAGTCACCCATCCAAACCGCAATTAGGGAACCGCTGATGAAAATGGATGTCCTTCGAGGCTCGGTAACTTTCTTTGAAGTGGCCTTGAAGTGTAACCAAAAGGCTTGACCCATTTAGGGGGTCCCGTATTTTGAGACGCACCCACATCTGCGACGAGTGTTGGAACCGTGGTTGGTTTACTCCAAAAGCTCTGGCTCAGGCAGGGATTGAGGCAAAACCTTGGTAGCTTGGCTTCCCTTGTTACCAACAGGGCTCGCTATATTTCCCCTTGAAACATCACTCCACCAAAAGGACGCTCCTTTTCAATTGGCCCAAAAGATGATGTCTAAAACCACCAAAAGGGGAAATACCGGGGGCTCTTCTACAGAGCTTCTTCATGGACCATAAAAAGTGAAAGCCACTTGCTGGATCCACTGGGTGCCGGCGATTCCTTAAACCAGACAGTTGCGGCGAAGACTGCGCAACCATGCAAAGGGTACACAACAAAACCCCCAATCCCACCCCCCACCCAAACCCCCCCCTCCAACCTCCCAACCCCCAAAAAAGAATCTGCTTCCCCACCCACCCCCCCTCCCAAAAACCAAACCCGTCAACCCCCCCAAAAAAACCTTCCCCGATCCCACCCCCCACCCCCCACTCCCCACCCCCACCTCCCAAAAACGAAACCCGTCAAGCCAAAAAAAACTTTTTCCCTCCAAAAAACGAAACCCGTCAACCCCCCCCCAAAAAAAAAAAAAACCTTCCCCGATCCCACCCCCCCACCCCCCAAAAACGAAGCCCGTCAACCCCCCCCAAAAAAAGTCTTCCCTCCCAAAAACGAAACCCGTCAACCCAACAAAAAACTCTTCTTCCCTCCCAACAACGAAACCCGTCAACCCAAAAGCCCCGCCTTCTTCCCGCCCCCCTCCCAAAAACGAAACCCGCCAACCCAAAAGCCCCCCTTCTTCCACACTGCAAGGTCTTTTGCAGATCGCTGGATGGCCCACGCTGCCCGCGTTAGGCCAACGTAAGACCTGGAGCGAGGCTTCGGCATCGCCAGCGAGGCTTCGGAGCTTGGCCACATCTGGGGGTTGATCAAAAGGTCCTTTACATGGGATGACCATGAAAAAAACCACCAAAACTGGGCCCGATTTCAGATCCCCGGCTCAAAGCTTCTTCAACTTTCAGGTGAAAAATACGGGGAACCTGCCACACTACACCAGGTGGGACCAGCTAAAAGGCCCAAAAAGGCGTGACTGAACCGGGGAGTCTGGTCCTTCGGGGAGCCAGCAAGATGGGATCAAAGGTTTTGGTCCCATCTGGATGACCATAAAAAACACATTTCCATTTCCATTTTCTGAGTTCCTGGGCTCCCTTTCAACCGATCAACAAGGGTTTCCCCCAAAAAAACACCAATCTAGGGGTACCTTGTCCATTCTGAACCCGATCCGTTGTTCTTTCCAAACCAAAAGGAACCCCAGGTTGGAAAAAAAGTCGGTTGATCTACATGGCTTCCAGTTGCTGAAGCCCCCTGGAAAAAGAATGTCCTGTAGTGATCGATTCCTTTTCAAACCAACAGGGGAACATAAAACATATTCTTACACAAATGGAAGATGGGATGACCATGGGAGAAACCACCAAAAAGGATTCGACTTTGGGAAAAGTTGCCCATGGTCCTTCGGATTTTTTCGGACACCACTCTCAAACCCGAGGTCCGGAGAAGGGACCTTCCCCACACCAAGTGCTCAGCTACAATCGGACGCTCCCACAAGAGACTGTTCGAAGGATCCTTCTCAAAGCATCGGCCAACTCCTGAGAACCGGTCTTCCAGCTCCATTTTCTCCCTTTCGGTGGACAAAACCGGATCGGGCTCAGAACAAAGCAAGGGTCCTGCATACGTCAATAGCTTTGACCCGGATACCAGGCCAGCAAAGCCAGATATCACCAGGCTGAGGAAGTTCATCTGCCCCGATCCCATGTTGCAAGCAAACCAACCCCTCGAAGAGAAAAAAGAAAAGAGAAAAGGCAAACTACCGTACAGGGCGGTTCCCTGGCGGTCCCCTCGCAATATTCTTGGTAAACAAAAGTTGGCATCCGTGTTTTGTCTGAAAGCTCTCAACGTTGAGCAGCGCGCCTTCGAGTGACTGTCAAGCAAATGCTTGCTTGCTTACGGGCCACAATTGGAATGGGGTTGGTTCCGAAACGACAAGTCGGCCTTCGAACTGGAGGCTTTAAACCCCAGAAATCCTCTGCGCAACCTAACTTTCAATCCAAAAAATGGAGCCATAAAACTAAGCTCCAAACATAAACCCTACCCGGAGCCCCAAAGCCCCAACACCATACACCTTGCAACTTTTCAGCTTCTCCGGTTTTAACGGTTAGGCTGTAAGGTCTAGGGTTTCAAACAGACCTGGCCAGGATCGGAAATAGAAAAGCTGGTCGAGACACATGTATCTCCGATACGCAGGGTGCTTTAGTGGCGCTTTAACTTTTCGGGAAAGTGAACACAAAAAATGGGGTTGCTCTTCCGTGAGAAAAAGGTCTAGCCTTCTGTAGGTTTCATGGATATGCAAATTGTTCCAAAGGGTCTACGGGCCGATTTGGTCACACCAAAGACCTGCCTTGTGCAGATTCGGGCGGCCCCAAATGGTATTCACATTGGTTCGAACGGGGCACATGCGACACATGATTGTATGGACGCACACATCAGCCAATGGCCATTTGGGCCCCTCCAACACAATGCTTTGATCCCGCCTTGGGGTCTGCTGGCGGCTTCATTGCATTTGGCCTCTCGTTCGCCTTGCAAAGTCCCCGAAATTTTCGGAAATTCCGCGCAAGCTGCATGGCATTTCTGTTGTGCCGGCCGGATATCTCGGAGTGCGCCCCCGAAAAGCAAAATGCAACGGGTGTTGGATCTGCCTCGAACGGAGTGAGCTTTCTGTGGAGGCCAAATACAACTAGGGGCCTGGAGAAAAGCAAGTCCGGGGTATCCCGCTAGTGACGAGCTGAGCCATTGTTTGGCTCACCTCGAAGCGTTTGGACAAAGACCGGCACATGGTTCTCCCCGGTGAAACGGGATCTGACGATCCGGGGTTCACAAAGAAACTGGAGCCGCAGCCAGAGAACCTCGTAGACTTGTCAAGGGAAACCGAAGCTGAAGGGCAATCTGCGTGTCCTTTTCCCGAGAGGGTCCCTTCATACCTAGGTACTCAGAGTTAGACCCCTTTTGTTCCCCCCAAAAGCCAAGGACCCCCCTTTCCCCCCCGAAGCCACCCTCACACAGTACCAAAAAACCCTCTGGATTGGGATTTCAAAGGCGCCAGAGCTTATCTTTGTAGCTTTGAAATGGCCAAAGGCCCGGTATCCTTGGTTGACGTTGGAAGGGGAGCAAAAATTTAAGTTTTAGCAGTTAAGTGGGGATTTCCCACTAAACTGCAACAACAAAAATGTAAAATGTTTCCCAACAACAACCATGTAGATGGGCAGAGACACCAAAGCTTTCAAGAAAAACCATTGCACGGACAGCGTAAGTTTCTTGTAGTTGACCCCGAGTTGCTTTTTGGGTTATAACTTTCTTACAGACTGGCAACCTTGTACACGAAGCCTCTGAGAGTGTGTAAAACACCAGAAGGGTGCCTGCGCGAGTCAAAGCCAAATCCCACGCGGAGTGCGTACGCAGACTTCTCTCGGGCGCTACTCTTCAGTTTGCGCAACCCAGAGGGTCCAAGTACTTCATGAGGATGGCTTTCGGGGGTAAAATGGGGTCGTTCAGCACCTCCTTAGAAGGTACCAATGGACCCTCTGGGCAAGGAAAAACATGCCTACGGACTGCCTGCGTGATCTGGTTTCCCCACCAGACTAGCCGAAGCGGGGCCTCCGCGGCATAAATAGAGTTCCCCCCCAAATGCTAAGCGAATACATAAAACAAACTCTGCTCAATTGAGAATACAGGTTGTTCACTCAACAGGCATATCACCCCCTCCCCAAACTTCCTTCCCCTGCCTAAAGGACCTGGCAATGCAAGGCTAATAACAGTTTGGGACATTTTCTAAAAATGGATCAGGCATCAAAATCCAGAAGGTTACAATCGCCGGACCCCTCCATAGACCTAGTTGTGGTTGCTCAGTAACCCTGGAAGACAAAGAAGAACCTGCATTTGTGCTCAAATTCAAAGGCTCAATATATGTACGTCCATGATGTGAGCCCCCAGTTTACGGGTGAATTCACCGTTTGCTATGGCTTAGTTATGGGAAATCAGCTTTCAAAGGGTGCAACATGGCCATTCATACTGCGGATGGACGAAATCCTGCGCCATGCAAGAAACTCTGGGATGATGATTCCCCTGCAAATACCAACAAGCAATGGTTTCAACCATGGTTTCAAAGTGGGGCAGGATTTCGTCCATTCACAGTACCCAGAGGGTCCAAGTACTTCATGAGGTTGGCTTTTGGGGGGTAAAAAGGGGTCTAAGTACCTCCTTAGAAGGTACCAAGGGGTTTTGTGGGGTATTAATAGACCACTACAGTCAGCCTGGGGATCCTCTTTCCCGTCGCCTCCTCCTCTAGGCTGGACGCCTCCGTGGAGCAGTCGACGACCTCTGCCCACAACATTCGCGGCTTCGAAAGTTTGGGCGACTCCAAGCCCGGCTCCGTGGGCGCGACCTGCGCGAGGAAGCCGCGAGAGATGTTTTGCTTTTCGCGTCGTGGGGCCCGGTCGCAAGGTCTGCCACATGGCAAACTACCAAAGTCTTTTGAAAGGGTCGCCTTTTTTTCGGTAGTCTATTTTAGTAGGGGAACCCTTCCCCAAAAAAGGGGTGAGAGGTCGGGCACTACTGACGGACCTGCCACGGATACGGATGCCTTCTCGCGAGTTGAAAGGGGCCCCTTCCCCGGGTCTTTCCGCAGCTTCACAAAGGGTCTTTGGAAGGTGTGGGTTGGTTTTCTTTGCCGAATCGTCCAACTGGTGGCATCCCTGGGGATTCTGAGAACCTCGGAAGCATGGATTGCCATGAGAACGGGAGCCATTCTTTGATGGTTTGAGGGTTCTGGAACGGATGCCACTGGGCAACAAACTTTCCAGATTTCTGGGCCTTATGGTTTCCAAGAAACTGCATGGCTGTCTAGATGGCGCATCAGCTAACCCCGGATTCATAAACCCCCGTTTGGGGGTGTCCCCGACACCCCCCCCATTAGTAGGATAGGGTTTACGACTCCGGGAATCCGGGTTCCCTTTGCGCGGCTTTTCTTGGTCGAAAATACCCATGTAAAGCGAAACAAACCAATAGGTTTGATCACCAATTCGGGCTGTGACAAATTCGTCAAGCTTGGGCAAGTGAGACCTGCGAATAAAATGGGAGCCCAATCTCCCCTGCCTCCCAGCTGTGGGGGGGGGACCACTCAAGTCTTTGGGGAGGGGTATTGCGCGGAAACCACCGCCTCCCACGAATAGATGCTGCCTTTTTAGAGTTGGTCCCCTTTTTTTCTGGTTTAGGGCAACCAAAGTTGACACAACACCAATTCAGGGGTGTCGTTGACGTTGAGAATTCGGTGGTTGATAGGGGGCCAGTCATAGGGTTTCATGAGTCCCAATGTGTGTTTGCATGGTTGTTTCTGGAAACCCTTTTTGGTTGGCAACAGGAGACCAACAGAGGAACTACCATTTTAGGACAACAGTGAAGGGACGAAATCCGCTTCGCACCTGTTGATTGGCCCCGCATTCAAATCGGGCTTCATCCGTCCCAATTGGTGCGAAGTGTACTTCGTCCATGATGTCAACTCCATATTGAACGGGGAACAAAAAAGCCATGGTTCTGGGGTTGGCATCCATCTAGCTGTGGGATCCTTCTTTTAAGATTGGATGGGAGAATCTGACGTGTATTAAGATGACGCATCATATGGGTGTTATTGTTTGTTTTCTGGATTTGGTATTGGGTGACCAGGGAATGACTCCGACTCCGACTCCACCTGCTTCAAGCGCAGCAAGGTGTGCAGCTGTTGGGCGCGCTGCGCCAAGGCAGCAACCCAGAGCCTGTTGAGAAACCAAGCCACCGATTTGCTGAGACCTCTGAGTTATGAAACCTCCCCCCCCCCAACAAAAAAAAAACGCGGTCCCCCCCAAAAAAAAACAAGTGGCCTGGTGTCCTGTGGGGTGCGATTTGGAGAGACCCCCCAGTTGACCAGTTGACTGCCTAGAGCACGTTCTGTGCCTGGGACTAAGAAACTGGCCAATCACTAGCTCGATGAAGTCAAGAGGTAACTTGGGCTTGCCATCCCTGAAAGGCCTTGCGTGAGATTTGCTCGAATTTTGGCTTCCATCTGGGGTTCGGGACATGGGGCACACTTGATCTGTCCGCAAAAAGCCAAGGGCGCTCTCATTTTCCCACGTGCAGTAGGGGAACCGTAGTTTTTCACAGTTCTTGGGGTACCTTCCCCATTCTTTCCAGGCATCCTTCTTTCTAAAACGCCACCCAAACCCTGGGGGAAACAGCGATCGGTTTTTGAGAAAAGAACGATGGTTGAAAGAATGGACAAGGAATCAACCCCTGGAATAGTGCCACTTAGGGTCGAGGGGCTCAATCCATCGAGGTGCTGGAGATCGAGGGATCCCTTTTGAGTTGAAAGAGTGGGATCCTCTTATATTTACTAGGTCCTCCAGAGGATAGAATAAGTTGGTACCAACTCTTTTCGGCTTTGTCTATTTTAGTAGGGGAACCCTCCCAACCAAAAAAGGGGTGAGAAAGGGCACCTTGCTGGGGAGCTAGTTTAGAATGTCTGTGTTTCGGTCTTCGAATGTGCTGAACGCTTTTTGGCTCCCCAAAGGGTCCAAATACTCCTTCTGTGCGGCCTTGGATTGGGAATGAATCACCTCCCCAACTCCGCGAAAATCTGAGGTACTTCGGCCCTAGGAATGGGTAGGAAAGCGCTGAAAGGAGGCGTCATGTTCAGAATCGGAGTCCCTTAGTTCTGGGGGTTGATTCCGAATCCCCATTCTTTTATCAACCATCCTTCTTTTCAACCCAACACCGATCGCTGTTTCCACCTGGGCTCTTGACGGCTTCCTGAAAAGAAATTCGGATCCCTGGAAAGAATGGACATGGAAGGTACCCCTAGATTAGTGCAAGTTGGTGCGCTTTATGTTGAAACCGCTGCGAAAAAAATGCATGCATGGGTCCACTTTGACAGAAACGGCCCCCATTTGCTGAACAGCGGAGCAAAGGCAGTAGAGAGGTTAGAATAAGGATACCAGCTGTTGCCGTAGTTTATTTGAGTAGGGGAACCCTCCCAACCAAAAGAGGGGTGAGAAAGGGCACCTTGCTGGGGGAACTAGTCTCTGTCTCTCGAGATTCTATAGGGGGATTTCTCTTCTGCAGGAAATATCCCCAGAGACAAGCCCCAAAACAGGAGTCTTCGCAGGTGACATTCACGAATCGCAAAAGGCCATGGGTCAAAAGCCCGTACCCCCAGTGAACATCCCAATCCCGACTAAAATAGACTAAAATGGGTGGTGCACCTACCCCAAACTGGTACCATTGGTTTTAACCCACAGCCAAAAAGGCGTAGATTATTCTCCCCGATTAAACCCTTTCATTTGATTAAAAACCACTGCTCACTTGGCACTGACCAAGTTTTAGTGACCTTTGATTACAACGGCCTAACTAATTAGAACGGGTGGGTACAGCACTCCATATTTATGATTACAGGAGCAAACCATTATGATTACAGGAGCAAACCATTAGAAACTATTTAGCTCCTGATATTTGTTTGGGTTATATATATATATGAGGGTTTCCGTAAAACACTGAGAAAAAAAGGCGGCGATCCCTCCGCTTCCGCGCCGCTTCCGCGGCGCAAAGCGTACCTTCTGCAGCATCCATAGCTGCGAATGCTCTTCATCTGCTCTGGTCAGCTGTGAAATTGCGATTGGTGATTCAGCAGATCCAGACCAAGGCATCTCCTTACAAGATCTCGAGAACATTCCGGGACAGGCTCTTGGTTCCAGTTTGCGGGCTATGCCAGCGATATGGGCATCGTTTGGGCATCGTTCGGGGCATCGTTCAAACCAAACCGTTTTCTTGTCCAGGCATGGTCAGTTTGATTTGTACAACAGCAAATGAGTTGGGTATCGGTTGGGCATCAGTTTGGGTATCGGTTTGGGCCCTGCAAATGTCTGATTCCGCAATCTGGGTTTGCGACAACAGCTTGGACCTGACATGTGTCTTGATGGCTTCTAGGGGTATCGTTTTTTCCTCTGTATCGGTTTACAATGGTTTGGGCCAGCAAAAAACAAGTTAAGGGACGTCCCCTTACATAACGAAAAGGCGCGGGGTTTTTATTTCAGTGCGCGTCGGGCACTTTCCGAGCTCCGGCTCGAGAATCGAAAATTTTAGTACAAATGTAGTACGCGAAGGCCACTTTCTCAGCTCCAGCTCGTTGATCTGGAACTTTTCATACACAGATGTAGTACGCGAGGTGCACTTTCCGAGATCCAGCTTGAGACTCGTAACTTTTCGGTACCAGCGTGTAACATGTTTAAAGGCAAGCCAATAGTTTGAAAGAACATAACAGGTCGCAGCTTCCGCGCCGCTTCCGCGGAGCTTCCGCGGCCTGCGTTTCACTTGCTTACCAACATAACCACCGCCACTAGCCACTAAAAAACGAATACAGCTATTTACGGAAAGCCTCATATATATAGCCCTCTTCTTGTCAAATATGTTGAAAGCCCCGGCTACCCTCCGCTTCCCAACCTCGCCGTCCGGTTTCCCCGGTTTCCCCCAAACAAAGACCAGACCCTGAGACAGCCGGGCCTACGGCCACACTTGGCAGCGGGGTGCGAGGGTGAGGTTAGGGAAGGCTTTGGGGGGGGGAAGGCCTTGGAATTGGGTTGGTGAAGATGGGTTGGGTTGGGTTGGGTTGGGTTGCGTTGCGTTGGGTTGGGTTGGGTTGGGTTGGGTTGGGTTGGGTTGGGTTGGGTTGGGTTGGGTTGGGTTGGGTTGGGGGTTGGATTGATTTCGATTTCAAGTGCAACCAAAACCGCAAATGCCTCTGGGCACCCTCCACGTAGCACCAGTCCAGGGAAGGTCAGTTTGTTCAAGGGATCGACTTGTCGGGGGCAAAGGAGCCGCTTTCGGGGAAGTTCGGATGCGCTGCGAACAGTTCTCAACCTTTCGTGGCTTAAACGGAAACCCCGCCCTAAAAACAAAACTAGAAACTTTAAGCCATCGGATGGCCGGGAACCGCCAAGGACCAAAAAAGAAACCAATGGGCGATTTGGAGAAAACGGGTTTCCAGCAATGTCCAAGGCGCTGTGTCGTCCCCCGGCTTGGGCTCGGGTCGCGCCGAAGGGGAGGTGGCGCGCTACCAGCGCGCCGGGCTATTTCGGGGACTTCCTGCGGCCATTGGGCAAGGGAGACTTCAACCCTGTTGGTCCCGTTAAGAAAATCAACGACTGGGCGTAGGCGCCCGGAAACAGATGGCCCTTGCAGATGAAAACACCACCTGGTGAACCAGGAATCGCCATCTATGTCCAACTAACCAAACAGGACACCTATGCCACCGAAGCTAAGTCTAGCTTGGGGCAGCCAACAAATGTGTGTTGTTTTTCCTGCTTGTATAACCCCTGCGTGGAGTTCCATGGGAGGAGGCCAACATTCAACCCCAAGTATGTTCTGTTATCATTTTAAGGGGCAAAGATATCAAATGTCACCAAACCTTGACGCGCAAACAAAGGTTCAAACCAGTTGTGAGACAAATCAGAGGTACAAAGACTGGTACAAACCAGATTGAAGCACTCCAACCCACTGTTGTTCAAGCCAATGTTCAACAAATGTTCAAACCACTGGCCATGGGCAAGAAGACCCCGTTTTGGGGGGTAGTTGGCTGTTAAATGGACACCCTCCAGCAAGAAGATAAAGCTCCTCAATAAGTCTGGTAGCACTGTTGCCAGTTCAAAGCAGAGTTCTTTAAGCCGCTGTTTAAATCACTGTCCATTGCACAGCTGGTTTTCCTGAAACCTGCTGTCCAAGCCACTGTTCATTGCACCTTTTGAAACCACGGTTTATTCCAGCCACTGTTTGATCCACCTCCTTGATCTGGCCCGAAAGAGCTGCTGCCCTTGACTCAGACCAATCGATTTGAAACGCATCGGACCCTTGTTTCAGGGAAGGAATCGGACCCAAGAGTTTTGGGTCCCCGCTTCAGCCAGGACTTGGTTTGTTGATCCCTTGTGGCGCGCGGCGCGTGTCATACATTCCTCCTGTCCCAATTTGCGGGGTTTGGTTTGGTGGCTTGGACGGTACAAGAGGTACTTTCCCTCAAGACACCCACAAACCACCAACGCAAACCCACTCGATAAATTCCTTCATCGCTCGAAAACGTATCTGGGAAAACACAACACGGACCTGGTTGTGTGTGTGTGTGTGTCCCTCGGGCGCCGTCCTCCGGAAACGACGCGCACTCGTTCACATCGATGAAGGTAGAGCGGTACCTGGGCAAGTGCTCCTCAAGAAAACGTCCCGCTCTTCCATTCCCGCCCGCCAAGCCCCCGCCCAGAAACCACCTCCTATGTTTCTCCAAGGTGCGTTCGGGGGGAAGGGGGGGGGGCGGGATGGGATGTGATTGCAAGCCAGGGTGCGCATGGAAATGTCAGCGGTCGGGTTGACTGAAAAAGTTACACACACCTAGGTGGGCGTGCGTGTGTTGGTTGAGAAGGCAACCAATTTTGGGGCTCCGGTCTTCCCTTCTGTTTTTTTGACGAGCCCTACCCATCATCCAGAAAAACGCACGCGTGCCTAAACACTGAGAGGCAGCTAGCTAGAGGCTCCCCCTGGGTTGCCGGCACCCCATGCTGCCCTGCCCGGGTCATACGACTATATACTAGCAACACCTGGCCCCAAGATGGCCCCTTTGGAACTGTAGCAAAGCTCGTCCGTGGCCGGTGAGCGTTCTGTTCGCGTGGCGCCATGGCACAGCCCGAAAGAGGGCAGGCCCCTAAATGAATCCCCGAAAAAAGACCAAAAGGGGGATTTCAGAGCAAGGTCCAGACGGGTCAGTCTTTTTTTGAGGGTAGCCTTTTTCCATGGGTTTTAAAACGAAACCAAAGAAAACGAACCTGGGGGGGTTCCAACCCTCCAAACGACACAGCCGGATCCCGACGCCAAAACGACGATTACGAGGCGCAGCAAGTTCAGCGCCATACGCTTTCTCGCGAGTGCGCGTCCACGGCTCCCAATGAGCCACGAGCCAAAAAAGCTGCGAAGCGGTACAGCTCTCGAAGCGTCGAAGCAATACTTAGATGGCCTGGGACGAATCGATGAATCGCTAGTAACGGTGTTTCCGTTTAACAGACCACCTCAAGATATATCTTACGGAGGTTTGGAGAACTCCAAACCTGAAAATAGCACCACAAAAAAGTGAGTCACGCCAACACCCGCCCCCAAGTGGAATTCGGAATTTCCATGGGGGCTAAATGGATCGCCACTCGTTGTTGTTTTTTGTTGGGTTGGTTGATGTGAAGGCGAAACCCTTCCAAAAAGAACAGGATGGAGAAAAATAGAAGGGTTGAAAAAATGGGGTGGAATGCACTGGGTCTCTGCCACTTTCATGGGATTTCGTTGCGTCAGGCGATTCGATCGGAGATCCGGCAAAGAGAAGTTCGGGCCGCTTGCGCTCCTCTAAAGCTGATATTAAGATGAAACACCTGGTTGAGCGAGAAGAGCACTTGTTCAGCAACAGTCCCCAAAAGTCACAATTTGGGGTGTAGATTGCAACTAGAAGCTTCATGTAACAGAAAGCTGCTCATTTGAGCCATGCAAAGAATTCACAAATTCGAGTCCCAACGCTCGCTGCTTTCCGCTTCAAGTCCACAAAGCCGAAGGGAAGAGTTATCCTTTGGTCCGCAAAAATGAGATGCACTGACAATAGCATATTTATCCTCTGACGCTCGGGAATATTTGGTTCATTAGACAGAAAATAGTTGTAGATGAGACCTCAGGTCAATGCGCTACGGTAGAACCTCTAGACCCTTTCCCTTGAGGCGGCTGTAGGATATTTAGAGGCTTTGAGATAAATTCAAACCCCAACCCCACTATACGACTATAGCCGTCTCCGTGTCTGTCTCTTGGATCCCGAGGTAAACTACGCTACACGTGGCATAGGGGGTTGTCGTTTCATGCCGCCACTTGAAATTTGGCAGCTTAATAACAGGATACATAGTGGAATTCCCGAAGCTCTACCCAAACTATTTTTGTTGGGCCTGACTTTCTACCGGTAACTATCTATGCCCTTTTGTGGGTCTCCTCTAAACCAACTTGCCCAAACTAGAAAAAATGAGAAAAACTCACCTTTCGGGCCAAAAAGGGAAACCCAAAATGTTCCAAAGGTGGGTTTGAACCAAGGGAACTTCCCCTCTCTAAACCACCTTGGGGGTCAAAACCCAACCCCACCCCCCACCCCCCAAAAAAAAGACGGCCGAGCTTGGTGAAAACCCAACCCCCCCCCAAACCAAAGCCGAAGCCGCCGAACCCAACTCCCCCCAAACCCAACACCCGCCGAAACGGATCGACCTCCAAGAACTTCTCGGCGGCGATGCAGGTCTTCAGCGCACGGCTCGGGTGGCACCTCGAGCCCAGCTCGGGCGCCGATGCCCCGTGAAAACCCCGAGGCCGCCGTGCTTGGCCGCGTCGAGCTGGGGAAGTCACCCGAAAATCTGAACATCTGAGGCCAGAGTCTTAGAGGTTTGGTTCAAAAGATCCCTTCCGTTGATCTCTTGAAAGCAACAACTTGTGTGGGATATGTCCAACATGTTTAAGCCCGAGAATCAGGCAAGTCGCAGAAAAAGCCGTATGACGAGAACCGGTTCTGGCAGATACACAAAATCATTGGCCGTCAGGTCAGCATGCAATCCTGGGCTCTCAACTTGGATCTTTGGATCGCCTTGCGAGCTCATCTTGAGTTCTGCGATGCTCGTGTCCCGCTCTCTCGCGGGAATCCTCCACTTTCCCAAAAGCTCTTGACACATCCGTACATTGTGGCTGGCTGCCATACCCCTTTAGCCACTCTGTGGCTTGGTCTCCCACCGTAGAGCCGTTGGCCGAACAGTCAACCCATTTGACCAGGCTCAACTTCTTGGAATTCCTCTCTGGCTCACGAGTTTGCCGAGAGTTGCAGCAACGGTTGGACGGAAATCAATTGATGTGCCGCCCGGCTGCGCGGCCCGAATGGCAGAAAGGGGGAACCCCTTTGTAGGGTTGACCATTTCAAGGGAACCCACTAAAGAAACAGGCTTTGAACAGGGTCCCGTCGAACTCCTGGAAAGTAAGATAGTCTTAGGGCAACACTGGCGATGAGGATAGTTTGCTCGAGGAATCCAAGCAAAGAGACTAAAGCACAGCAGTTCTTGGACCACATTTGCAAGCCTTGTGTTTCTGGGAATCCTCTCGGGCTCTCGGGTATATCAGAATTCACCGCTCAACTTGCTGGTCAGGGCCCCGCCCGCAATGGGGAAGAAACCATATGGGAGAAGGAAGCGGTTCTTGCGATCGGTGCGAGAGATGCAGGGGATGATAATTGGAATGACCCCTAAAAAACCGTCCAACTGGTGGCTTGCTAGGGAATCCCCAGGTTCATTCCCTCATTGCCTGAGCACCAGCAAGTCTTTTGGGGATGGGTCAGTGCGACATCATTCCAAGTTCCCGAGCCAAGACTTCAGGGAACCTCAAATCACAAGGTACCTTGCGAAATCCTTGGTCCAAGCACCAACTCGCTACTCTGATCATTTTCCCGTGTTTGAGTTTTGGGGGATTCCAATAAGGAGTCCGGTTTGAGATTCTAGCTGGGCCTCCGGAAAAATGAAAATGTCACTCAAATACTCGAGGTCATTGATTGGGTTGGGAAAACCGGGTTCGATCAATAGGGAGTCTTGCAAAAGTAAATTAAACCTAGTAAATCAATTTGCTGGTAAACACCTAGAGTCTCCATGACCTGAATCAAACGTGGTTGGTCATCACCCTGAATCATGGGGTCATGGACCTATTTTTGGTTTGAAACCAGGTCCTCCAGCAGAGAGGTTGGAACAAGGGTAAGCCATAAAAGCACGGAACCCTCCCCAAAAAAAGGGGTAAAAGGGCACTACCGGGGGACCTAGGAAACTGAAGAGAGCGGTTCTTTGCAAGAGGGTCAAACCTGTGCTATGGATCGCACTCAGGCGACTTTTCAAGATCTAGGCAAGTCGGTTTAGAGGAAACAGGGCTCACTGGTTATGCCCCTCAAAAGATGAAGCTTGCTAGTTTCCATAGGTCCAATTAGAGAAGTTGAGGGAAACGAACGGGAAACGGAAGGGAAACCAGGGCACCGCAACCCCAGAACAAGGAACCACGGCCGTCGCCGGGGGCCCGGGCGTGTCCGATGACCAAAAGCCATACCTTCCAATGGAGGTGTAGGCAGAGGAGGGCGTGTACCTCCACAGCAGCGGGTTCCGTGTTCCCCCTTCATAGGTCCAAGAACCCGCCCAAAAGAATACCGGGAGAAGGCAACATGGGTTTCAAAAAAGGAAAAACCAACTGTTGGTTTCTATTGAACGCAACCATCATAATTAGTTGCTAGCGCCCAGAAAAGATGACCCGCAAATACAAGTTGCAACCAATTTTCAAGCGCGCAGGGTTCTATCATGTTCTATCTTTTGAGTACTTGAAGGTAGACCACCCAAACGGTTTCTCCTTTGGGTGAACCAAGAAGGGAACACTCCACGCTTGTCTCCCAAAGGGCAACCCCCCCAAAGCAGGTGGTTTCCCTTTGACAAATAAGGTCAATCCGGGGTTCTGGGTTGAAACCAAGATTCCAGTCGCAACTTCTTGCTCACCAGGTGAGCCGCGGTTCAAATTCCTGATTTCGCCAAAACCACATGGGAAAGCGGAGGAAGATGAGTAAGATACTCTGGTTTTTGTTGAGTGAGTCCCCCGCATCCTTCGCAAATGGTATATATTATATAGACTTCTCAACCAACTCGCCAGACCCCGAAATCCTTTGGGCCCTGTCCGATTTGCGGTCGACTTGGCTTCAAATTGAGGCAACATCCGCACCCCGGGCAGGGCAGGAAGCCAAGCAAGCAACCAAACAACTCCGCTAAACAAATACAGTAACGTTGAGTGGTTTGATGGAAAACCCGACTGAGTTGGCAAAAAGTTAAAGTCGTAACATCCCTTGGCAAAATGCACCAAACAACCAACCTACCAACCACAACCAACCAACCAACCAGCCAGCCAGCCAGCCAGCCAGCCAACCAACCAACCAACCAATTGATCAGCCAGCCAGCCAACCAACCAACCGACCAGCCGCCGGCCTTAAGCACAAACTAGACCTGCTGTCGATGGGCTAAATTCCACACTACTTGGTAGGTGGTTTCTCCCAGTATTCATAGGGTTTCATCCATCCCAACTAGTGTAGGATTTTGTCCATCTACAGCAGCAACATAAATACCTCATCCTGCTATGGCTGTGGAAAATGGTCCGAAACGGGGCCTTCCTATGATGCCCTCGTCACGTTCAAGGGGCTTCCTCTGCTATCACAGAAATTGATCCGAAACCGAATTGATTTCTGCAACCATCAGCCCTAGCTACAAGACGTTTACGCCTGTTCCGCTTTTCTTGGCCGTGACCGGGCTAAGAACTTGCACCGAGCAACTTCATGGCAGCCGGAGGGCTTGTTTCACAGACCCGGACCCTGACGCTGAAACCAGGGATGTCGAAAGCCCTGTGGTTTGGTGATCTCTTAAAGCTCTCGGGTCACTGGAGTCGGGTTTCCCTGGTGATCAGGATCATAACCTATAGCCTATGACTGGCAACGTATGCTTGGGACACGTGTACTTTTCTTACTGGCACACATGAAACCAAGAAGCTTGTTGTTGATGTTCTTTTTATCTTCATGTTATTTTATCTTATTATTTCATTTTGTCTATTTGTGTTTATTTATGTTGCTTGGTGCCTTTTTTTTTGGTGGGGGGGTCGTGTTATCTTTTACGTATTGTTTCTTCCTGTTGTTGTTTTTTGGGGGGAGGGCAACAAGGACGACTCAGGGCCATCACCCGTGAATCCTGGGCACCATGTGATTGGCTGCAAACCATGCACAAAACGGTCAGACCGGATCCAAAGATCCAAGCCTCGGACACTGCCCTCCCCCAATTCTTGGTCCATGCCGAGTCCACCCAACAAACAATACATAACATGAGGTCCCCTAAAACGGTTTCTTCTTGGCGTCCCTTTAAATTCCTTCCAACAGGCAGGTCACCTGCTTTCCATTTGCTTAAGCCCCCGGGAAAAAAAAACAACATGTCCAGTAGAGATAGATTCCCTTTAAAACCAAGAGGGGAAAATACAACATGTTCTTAAGCAACTGGAAGTTGTTTCAGCTTCAGGAGTGAGAGGTTGAAACTCAACGCCTCGCGCACTCTTTTGTATCGAAACCGTGGCCATCACAGCCTCAGGCTGGTGATACGCTTCGATTCGATTCCGAGGGCCCGTGCAAAAGTGAGGGCCGGAGCCTTGTTTCCACTCAACTGGCTGTGCTTTTGTTAGCGGGTTGGTTTAAATCGAAATCGAAAGGACCACCATTTGCGGGGCTGTGTGTTTTTTGTTGGGGGTACTTGGATGGTCTAGGACGAATCGTAATGGCTAGTCACCCTGGCTACAGGGGCCTTAAGACCATTGTAAGTGGGTTACAACCAAGCTTGCTAGCTATTTAGCTAACCCCCAGACCATCTAAGTACCCTCCGCAGTTTGGTTTACCATTTACTGGGCTGTTGACACATACCCATGGGCGTGTCTTGTTGAGGCGACCCCCAAATGGTGGCTTTGATGTTGATGTTCGTTACCCCCCCCCCAAAAAAAAAAAAAAGGTACCCCCTAATACACGACAGGCACCCATGCGGCCTCGGACTTTGAAGTGGAACACCCCCAAACACCAACTGGTGGCAGACATTTTTGTTTTCAGGGGTGTCGACGTACCCCTGAACTAAGTCAGTTTCCCGGTTGGGTGCGGAGCATTCTTCCAACCGCATCGGGCACAGGCGCTCGCCCAAACGCGCCCACGCGCTCATGGCTCATGGCAGGAAGGCGGCCGTACTCCTCAGACACCTGACCAGCTTTTGGCGCGATTTCAGCAGGGATCCGGATGCATTATACACCTGAACATTGCCTTGTAAATGGTGGTTTCCCTGTATTTTGGTGGAAAAAGCCATGTTTCAATTGGGCAAAATGTATCTTTTAAGGAGCCCTGTTCAGAAAGCCGCCTTTCTTTAAATGGGGGTGGTGTTTGTTGGGCATGGCGGGTCTGCTTCATGTCGGTCGCTCCCAAACTTTGGCCTTCCTCTGGCTTTTCAGCCCTGAAGATGCCAACTCACAGGACATGGCGTGTGCTTAAAGGGGCAGGGTACTTAGTACTAACCCACTTATCACAGTTACAAGTCTCCTAAGTGGCTTATAACCATGGTTACTAACCACATACTAAGTACCCTGCCCCTTTAAGTGGATGTTGCGAAATCCATTTCGCACCACAACTCAGAAACCCAACGGAATGATTCGAGTCCCCAATGAAAATACCAGCAAGCCCATTGTCACGACAGGCGCTTTTCTTAAAGTTCCCCCGCTTGGATGAGAGGGAAGCCGGATGACGTTTTTTTTCGGAACCACCGCCCCTTCTAGTCCATGAGATGTATGCAACGTTGCGATTCAGCAAAAAGAAGCAAGAGATCCCCCATCAAGAAGAGAAGGTCTTGCCCAGTGCGCTCACTTCCAAACTTCCAAAGGTGGTTATGCTTCGGCCATAGTGGCGCTGAACTTCATGCATCTTTAGTTTGTTGCGCGGATTGCTTGAGTCCGAGGTGCCTTTTTGGCTCATTTTGTTACTTAGATCATGGTTCCAGCTCAAGCACGGCACCTCCTGGGCACAGACCCTAAAGCTGCAAAAACTGAGCAAAACAACTGGCCGGAAACGGCCCAAAAACCGGGAAACGCGTCGGAAAAAGATGAGCGCGCCTGGCACGCGCGATCGTTCAGCGGTTCCTGCGGGGTTCATCAAGGACACCGAGCTTCTTTCAGGATGCAACCCCTTTCGCCCCCCCTTGTTCAAACCTTTCCCCTTTCTGATTATTGATTGTGGAAACCAGGGCAGGGCCGCATGGTAGCCAGCTTGCGTGGCCGGAAATCTCCGGGATAAAAGTAGGAGCATTCGTTCGAGTGACTGCCACAAGCTGCCACCCCACCCCACCCCAACCCCCTAACCGCCAATCCCCCCCAAGCCCCCAACCACCCCAACCACCCCAACCACCCCAACCACCCCAACCACCCCAACCACCCCAACCACCCCAACCACCCCAACCACCCCAACCACCCCAACCACCCCAACCACCCCAACACCCCAACCCCGTCCTACGTGGCAGGGAGGAAATGGCGAAGTCCAGCTGTAGCTCAGAGGCCAAGATCTCAGCGGGTGTTGCCGGTTTCGGACGGGGGTTCCTCACAAAAGGCGGACCCTCCTGTAGTCCGAAACCGTTGCCATTTTAGGGGAACCCCATTGAAAAACCAAACGTCGTTTCGAGAAGTACCCCCCTGAACCCGGCTCACCATCAGCTCGAACAAAGGTGGCCTCTGGCGATCAATAGAAAACCCAACCATGAATCAGTAAGTTGGTAAATGTTCACCCCTCTTTAAAAAGCTTAACATTTTGTGGGTCGCATCGAAAATCCAAGATCCAACCAAATATATGTATTGCGCGCACTATGTCAACCAACTTTCGCAACCGACTTCTGTCAACAAGTCTTGGCCCACCTCTCACACACACATAGTATCTTCGAACTTGTCATATGTTGTCTTCCTTAAAATTTGAAGCGGAGAAGACCTCGGCGTTGTGTCTTCCGTGTTACAATTTGTTTGAGGGCGTGTTTTGTGTTTGCTGTGTGTCTGTGTCTGATGGATTGTTTTTCTTTGAGGGCTTGGTGGGTACAGAAGCCGGTCAAATTCAAATATCCCCTGTAAAAAATGCAGAAACCGGGCACCGATCAAATCACCCCTAGAAACCGGTCAACCAGGTCCAACATTACCCCGGTCAATTCCCCCTCCAGAAACCAATCAAATCCCTCCTGAAAACCTGTCAAATCCCCTCTAAAAACGTCAAACCCAGACACCAACAAACTTCCCCCAGAAACCATTCGACGAAAACAAAAAATACTGTAGCACATATTTCGCGGATTCATCGCCGTGCGTGATTTATCCTTAGAGCCAGAAAGTCCCATTTTGTTTTTTAAATACACACAACTACGCAAAACTTTCTCGAAACAAACAACTACATTCGCAACTCCGTCGTCAATCTTTCGCGGAGCAATCTCAACCAACACCGATGGTCGCCGCCCATTCTGTAGCTCTCTGCCTGGCAGACTAAAGCACAGCATATACATCAAAGCCAGCCAAAAGCGGACTGGCCGCGAAGCGTTCACAATCATCAGATCAGTTTCATAGTTCGCCCACCCTAAAACATAAGGCCCCAGTTTTGCAAAGAGGCCCCAGCTGAACGTGTGCTGTGTTTGGTTTGTCACCTCGCGGGCTCGGGAAACCCAAGGCTTGGAGCTTTTCCCCCCCGGCCCCGAGATTCTCGGCGTTTCTTTGTCTCTAAGTGTAGCCTTGAAGGGTGGCTTCCAGTAAGGGAACGAGCAAAAAGAGGACCAACATCTTTGTCCCCCGATTTTGACACAACTGAATGTCGCCTCCCAAGGTACTCAGCTCCCCGGCCCAGCCCGACAGACCCCCCAGCTGCATCACCTCCATCCACATCTCCCCGTGCAGATGCGCCTCCGACGGCTCGACCGTTCTCGGCTTCGCGCTTGAAAGGGCAGGCAGCAAGCAATTTCCCTGCGCCAGAGATATGGGTGCGTTTGGTTTTTGAGGGTGCTCTTTTTGGGTTGCTTCTTTTTTGATGGGGACACTAAAGCACTTGGTTGGTTGAGACGTCATTTGTTGGGCCCATCTTACGAGTTGCACCCCTACAATCCCCCAGAAACAAGTAAACCAACAACACATGATGACCATGAGGGTAGCGGCGACGAGGACGACGTTGTCGGACTCCTGCCCGGTTTGTTGGATTTCGTGCGGAAGATCCTGTCGCATTGACAGATGGCATGCTCTCTTTGAGGGGGCCCCTCTTTCTCCTTTGCGCCAGCGGAACCTGCCAGAGCCACTACGTGCCAACTTGGGCATCCATCGTGCCCACGTCGCCGAACTCCCAGGCGCGCCAGAGTTCTCAACTTGAACCCTTCTGGCATGTCCAACACTTCTCCCTGGTCGGCAACCAAAAACAGGTTCCTGGTAGATTCAGGGGTCGTTCCCGTGTTAACAGGTGCCATCTCTGGGTTCGAACATGTCCACAGGGGCCCCCCGCCCTGCGGATGGCCAGCACCTTGGATCCCGGCAGCAGAACCTCGCGAGAAATCTTCGGACCCGGGACCCCCAAGAAGGCCCCCACATGTTGAGGGGGCGAAGGGGCCGGGTTTTGGCCAAAAGGTCTGGGGTACTCATGGCGAACTTGGAGGATTGATGGGGGTTGACCTTTGCCTTTGAGAGTTGAATGCGGGTTTAGGGTTCAGAAGGGTGAGCAGAACGCGGCAAACATGCTCTAGTAATTGTAAGTGGTTGACTGCTTGGCAACTCCGCATGACTCATAACCATTGTAAAGCTTGATCCAAGCTTTCGTTCACCCGCCTTTTCTAAAGACCATATAGGGGGCCAAAGTTTAACACACCCAAGTCCCCGAAACACATGACTCAGTTGCCTTTCACAGTACCCAACCCCGGTGACCAAAAAGTGACGAAAAAGTCGCCTCAAGGGACGAGCCCCTCGATGGGTCCCGACTCCGATTCCGGGATAGCGATTCCGTTCTGGGATCCGAGGCTGTGGGCCCTCCTTCTCTCGTTTGTCATTGCCAAACTCGTGGATTTGCTGCCAAAGGGTCCTCCCCAAAACCAAAGGGCCCCTACTAAGAACCAGCAAGGCAGTTAACCGGAAAGGTGGTCAGTTGACTGCATGGTGAGTGGACTGCCACATCCTTCTTGTCGAAAGAAGCATCAGGCCCACGGGACTTACACAGCACATGTGTTTTTTGTTTCTGCGGAATCTGTTCCATGGCCAACCCTAAAATATCATTCATTGCACCACCCAAGAAACCCTAGTTTCTGACAAATCCCCTCTAAATACCAACAAACCTTATGGTTTCAACCATGGTATCTCATTTCGTGGTGCGAGAAGCGGATTTCGATTTCAACCATCCACGCTGGCCAACCTAGTTGCATTCACGGCCAACCCAAGTAGTCACGTCGGCCGGTCGAGCCCGGGATCGTCGGGTTTGGGATCCAGATTGGTTCAGTTTAGGACCATTGCAACAGGCAAGTCTGTAGGCTAGGAAGCAGCAAAATGAGTCAGAAGAATCGGATTATTTTGCATTGCAAATCCAAAAAACTAGGGGTCCGCAAGTAGAAGGCCTACATCAGGGTGAGTTCTTCTTTCCCCGAAACATGTTTCCGTCCAAGATATTCGAAGTATGCTTGGAGCCCGTGGCAGTTCGGAGGGCCCTCTCCTTTCTGGAGTCCTTTTTTTTTTGTTGTTCGGTCTGTCTTGCCGCGGGGTGTCAAAGTTCGGACACCAAATTGAAGCCAACCCGGTAGCTCAAACCTTCCAAAGACCTCGCTTTGCTCGCTTTGGCGCCGCTTTCTGCTTTTCTCCCGTGGGCGGGCGACATGCGGTTGCAACCGTGGGCTTGGGAGGTGAAATGGGTACCAACCAGCAAAAGGAATCCGATTGCAAGTTCCCCGTGGGAAAAGGAGACACTGTCGAAGTAGTGCGGCTTTTGGGCCAGTGAACACAAGCAGAACATATGGCTATGAAAGAATATTTGAGTGTATGTAACGCCGCGGCTCTGTTGCAGACCTCTCAAACAAATATATATATATATATATATGTTTTACAAATGCGCATATTTGAGAAGCATGGTTGGTGAAAAACATACCCCTAAAGTATGCATTTGCACATGCTACCCAGGAAGTCCGCTTGGCCCAACTTCACCCATCCAAGAAAGGACACCCTTTGAAGTGTGTATTGCTGCGAACTTCCACCTTGTTCAACAAAGGGTCCTAAAGGTTGGAAGAGTCTGAAATCAATATTGTTCTAGGGGTCGATTCCCCGTTCTTTTCAAGCATCGTTCTTTTCAAAAACCGCCTGTGTGCCCTGGGTTTTTGGATGGTTTCCTGAAAAGATCCCTGGAAAGAATGGAACTGGAAGGTACCTTAGGGGTACCTGGTATGTCTTTTCTTAGGGGCCTTTGGGTCCGGTCCCCCAAAACGGCAAAACGGTGTTCTCGTTTGGGCTTCCCAGGAGGCGGTACCCTCAACACAAAGACACCCCCCCACCTTCCATTTGCTTCAGTCCCCGGGAAAAAAGGCAAGCTAGTGTCCAGCAGCTTCTTCCTGAAGCCCTTTAAAACAAACACGGACCAATACATAACACATCTTCTTAAAACGCCCGAATCTTCGTTTCAGCAATCGGACCTCGGTTGCTTTCTGCTTCCCTGCAGAAGAAGTTTTTTTCACTTCTAGTGGTCTAGTGGAACACCCATCACTGGTGGGCAAAACGGCAAAAAGTCCGAACATCCCTTGGCAAAATGCACAGGAAAGTACATGGAGCCTTTTGGTGCATGGAGCTTCAAACAAAATACAAGGTGGACCCATGTGGACCCACACCAAATGGTGAAAACTCCAACCAACGCCCTCCCCGTCCTCCCGCTGCCCCGTCCGTCCGCCGGACCGGACCGACCCGCCTTCTTGGTGAGTGCCCAGGGCAGCTCCGTGGGGTCCTTCCGCAAGGTGACCGCCTCCTCCGCGGTGACCGCCTCGGGAGGCCGCGCTGGTGGATCCGCAAGGGGCTCGTCGCGTGGTGGCGAAATCGAAATCTGCGAAGCCGGAGCTGCAGAAGCTTCACCTCACTTTTGGTGGTTTGATAATCGGAAAACCGTTTCATTTGTTGGCCAAGAGTTAAAAAGTCCTAACAGCCCTTGGCAAAATGCACCAAAGGCGGCCTGTGGCTGGAATCCAAGGGAGGCTGTGGATGTGACCAAGATGGCTGTGGCCGGTGAACCAAAGACCAAAACGTTTGCCCCTCAAGAAGTGGGCAAGACCAAGACCGGCGCCAGGCTGATCAAAGACCAAAATGTTTGCTGGGCAAACATTGCCTGCGCTTCGCCCTGGCTCCAACAATGTTTTTTTTGCAGCACCCATATAACAGCAAGGGTGAATACTTGGTGGCCCAAAAAATGGCTCAAGGGCGCCGTTTCGGTAGAAATGGGCCCTTAGAGGGTGCTGGTGGGAGTGTCGTTTTTCAGTCAACCCCTCCCTCCCCCCCCACCAAAAGAAAAGAGAAGAAGCTTCGAAACCACCCAAAAAAAAGGGTACCTTCAAAAAAGACCCTCCCAAAACGGCTTCGGCTTTTCTTTGAAACCATCCGAAACAAGGTGCCTGAAAAAAGGACAGGCCCATAGTGCCCTCTGTTGGTTTTTGCACGTGTCAAGCTCAGAAGTCCTCCACGGGCTTCCTCTGAGAGACTCTTGTGTGTAAGTTCTTTGGTTTTCTTTTGTGCTTTTCTTTGAAACCACCCCGATAAAAAAAGCTAGCTTCAAAAAAGGGTGTGTTTTTTTGAAACAACCCAAGACAGGGTCATTTTGATTGAACCCACCCACAAAGGGGCCCATCTTCAGCTTCCTTCTCGGCTTGGAGAGTGCGGTTTTCTCCGGCGAGTGCTTTTTCTCTCACCGTCGGGTGAGGCTGCGGCCGCCTCCTCGTTGTCCATGGGCCGAACCTCCAGTGGCCCCTCCAAGGGCATGGACTCCTAGCGAGGGGCTTGGGGGGGGGGGGTGGTTTTGGCTTGAAAAGTGAGGGGTGCGGGTGGTGCTGGTGGCGCTGGGGTGGCTCGGAGAAACCTGGAGGGGTCGCGTTTGGGGCGTGGGCTTGGGTCTGAGGGTCCGGAAAGCTTGGGGACAAGGGGTCTTGGGACGGTCTGGGGGCTATGTCTGGGTGATGTTTGAAAACTGTGTTGGGCTTTGGGTGTGAAATGGTGTGTCGTCTGCCAAGTTATGTTGGGGTTGAGTTGGGGCCAGGCGAGTAAAAGTTCTACTCTTGCGCCTGCCTTTTGGGAGGCTCGGTACCCTCTTCTGGGTTTGAACCACCAGGGAAACAACAAAAGCGACTCCAGTTCGAGAGAAACCCGCGGGATTTGGGCAAAAACCCTTTGGGTGTGGCTCTTGGGGTCTCGCGAGGGAGTTCAGAGTTCAGAGTTCAGCCTCTATGCGAGACTCCTTTTGTGTGTGTGTGTGTGCGTCTCAATATGGGTGTCTTTTATGAGTGTACCCCTTCTGGGGTGCTGTTAAAGGCAAACCAACAGGAAAACCCAAGCCGTTACTGGGGTCCCCGAAAAGAAAAATAAAGAAAAAGACACTCCGAAATAGGGCTCCGCTTAAATGGCAACTGCTTCCGTTTCAACCAAGGGCCCTTTGGGAGGGGGGGGTGAAGTCCTAATATCTCTCCTCGCCGCTCAGACCCCAAACCACACCTTAAAGACCCAAGGGGGTACATTTGCCTGGCCAAAAATGCAAAAAAACAAGGTCAACAAAAAGCCAAACAAGAACAACAACCATGGAACCAAGGCCCAGAAAAAAGCCGAAGAGCCACCAAACTCGAGCCAAAGAAGGCCAACGAAGAGGGCCAGACTATGCAGCAAAACAAACCACTCGCCCAAGTTACTTACAAGGCAATCCCAAAAGCAACCCAAAACATCCCAAAACATTCAAACACCCCAAAACATCCCAAAGCAATCCCAAGTACAACTCAAGTCACAAAGCAACATCACCCCACATTCAAACACCAAGCCGGCACCCTACGCGAACCAGTGTCCTGTGTCCTGACTCTCCTGGGTCAGCCCCTTCTCCCTTGGACTCTTTGGATCTTCGGAGCGCAGATTCCCCCAGGCTGGCGCGCTCCTTGTGGAACACCAGCCACTCACCTGAGTCCAGCTGAAGGCAGCTGGCACCGCCCACCTGGCGCTGGCCACGCTTTGGCGTGGCTGGTTTTTCTCGCCTGCGGAGCATATGTTTCGAAGGAGAGCCCACTAAACCCAGAGGGTCCATTGGTACCTAAGGAGGTGCTGAACGACCCCTTCTTTCCCCCGAAAAGCAATCCTCAGGTACCAAGGGACCCTCTGGGAACCTTTGAAGGAGACCCCAGCAACTAGGGGGATTTCAGAATTCAGGGTTGGCTCGGAGGGCATGGAGGGCTCGGTCTTCCTCCGCAAAGCTCAGGCGGAAGCCGCTTTTGTTGGTTGAAAGATGGAACTTTTTCTACTTCTCCGCCAGCCCATGGAGCCACAGCGCCCCTTTGACGTGTTTTTGTTCACCTTTGCTTCAAAGCCATCTTGGAATAGGTCACCACAAAGGGCCACAGCCGCAAGCACCTCGAGCACTCCCCTGCCCCATTGTTCTAAAAAGGGCAGGCACAGCCATGGATTTCTGGCTTCAGCCTTAACGCCTTGGCCTAAAGGATGTTGGTGAAGTCGAAGAAAACATGAACATAGGAAAGTATGGATGGAGCATAGACAAGCAGAAGAAAACAAGCGAAATAGACATTAGAGAAAATATCATTGACCTGCTTCATTGGTGTTTGGATGGCTCTGAAATTCCGTGAAGGGCCTACTCGTTGAGAAACTGTCATGTACGGGGAAGCCTTTATGGCTCATGCTACCGCTATGTTCGGGTGGCTCCGAATTTTGCGAAGGTCCTACCCGTTCGGAGAAACTTTCCTGTACGGAGAAAGGCCCTTGTATTGCTCATACTACCCCCCATGTGCGGGTGGCTCCGAATTTCGCGAAGGTCCTACCTACCTGCTTTGTACGGAGAAAGGCCCCTGTATTGCTCATACTACCCTCCATGTGCGGGTGGCTCCGAATTTCGCGAAGGTCCTACCCGCTTTGAGAAACTCTCATATATGGAGAAAGGCCCCTGTATTGCTCATACTACCCCCCATGTGCGGGTGGCTCCGAATTTCGCGAAGGTCCTACCCGCTTTGAGAAACTCTCATGTATGGAGAAAGGCCCCTGTATTGCTCATACTACCCCCCATGTGCGGGTGGCTCCGAATTTCGCGAAGGTCCTACCCGCTTTGAGAAACTCTCATATATGGAGAAAGGCCCCTGTATTGCTCATACTACCCCCCATGTGCGGGTGGCTCCGAATTTCGCCAAGGTCCTACCCGCTTTGAGAAACTCTCATGTATGGAGCAAGGCCCCTTTATCGCTCATACTACCGCCTATGTTCGGGTGCCTCTGAATTCCGTGCAGCTCCTACCCGTTGTGAGAAACTCTCATGTATGGAGAAAGGCCATTTTTTGCTCATACTACCCCGGGTGGCTCCGAATTCCGTGCAGGTCCTACCCGTTCGGAGAAACTCTCCTGCGGAGAAAGGCCCTTGTATTGCTCATACTACCCCCCATGTGCGGGTGGCTCCGAATTTCGCGAAGGTCCTACCTACCTGCTTTGTACGGAGAAAGGCCCCTGTATTGCTCATACTACCCCCCATGTGCGGGTGGCTCCGAATTTCGCGAAGGTCCTACCCGCTTTGAGAAACTCTCATATATGGAGAAAGGCCCCTGTATTGCTCATACTACCCCCCATGTGCGGGTGGCTCCGAATTTCGCGAAGGTCCTACCCGCTTTGAGAAACTCTCATATATGGAGAAAGGCCCCTGTATTGCTCATACTACCCCCCATGTGCGGGTGGCTCCGAATTTCGCCAAGGTCCTACCCGCTTTGAGAAACTCTCATGTATGGAGCAAGGCCCCTTTATCGCTCATACTACCGCCTATGTTCGGGTGCCTCTGAATTCCGTGCAGCTCCTACCCGTTGTGAGAAACTCTCATGTATGGAGAAAGGCCATTTTTTGCTCATACTACCCCGGGTGGCTCCGCATTCCGTGCAGGTCCTACCCGTTCGGAGAAACTCTCCTGCGGAGAAAGGCCCTTGTATTGCTCATACTACCCCCCATGTGCGGGTGGCTCCGAATTTCGCGAAGGTCCTACTCGTTGTGAGAAGCTTGTTCATGTACGGGGAAGCGCCCCTTTATTCTTGGTTGACGTTGGAAGGGGAGCAAGAATCATGTTTTTAGCAGCTAAGTGGGGATTCCCCGCTACACCACAACCAGCAAAAATGCAAAATGTGTCCCAACACCATGTATTGCCCATACTCCTATGTTCGGGCGGGTCTACTTCCGTGAAAATTCCCAATGCCTTCCCCACGGCCCAAAAGACCCAGCTGTAAGGGTGAATCCTTGAGGGAGGCCAAGCCAAAAAAGCCGTGAAGGCCAACACAAAGCTGAAGGCCAACACATGTGTACAGGAAAACCGAAGCCACTTGGGGTTCCCCTTGAAAACCTCAGCCACGTCGGTGTGGTTCATCCTTGGAGGTCCAAAACGGAATGGAAAAAGTAGACTCAAACCTGCGAAACCCAGCTGTCGAGCCACACCCAAATGAGAAACCATGATTTGGCTGGGTCAAAACCCTGGTACCCACCCCCCACCCCCGAGATTCTCTTTTAACATGTACCAAACAAAAGCTTCGCAGGCGGTTACCCCAAAAAGCGTATCTGGGTTTTGACCCTCAAAAGGATATTGGCACAAACCAAAACCACAGCAGTGAATGTTGGTGGATGAAACCACCCCATTGTGAGAACCACACCCCAGATTGACCCCATAATGAAAACTGCAGCAGGGTTTTGACCCACACCCATCAAAAGCCTCAAGAAGCCCTGGGTGAACAGGACTTCGTACAAACCAAAGCTCAGCCAAATCGTTTTGCTCAAGAACTCATCATGAAAAACCCGTTTTGACCCACCCATCATGACAACTGCTGGGTTTTGACCCACCCATAATGAAAACTGCGGGGTTGTGACCCACCCATCATGAAAACTGACCCAATGAAAACTGCGGGTTTTGACCCACACATCATGAAAACTGCAGGGTTTTGACCCACCCATCATGAAAACTGCAAGGTTTTGATCCACCCATCATGACAACTGCTGGGTTTTGACCCACCCATCATGAAAACTGCCGGGTTTTGACCCGCCCATCATGAAAATTGCAGGGTTTTGATCCACCCACAATGAAAACTGCGGGGTTTTGACCCACCCATGACAAACTGCGCGGTTTTGACCCACCCAGGTTTTGATCCACAGATGATGACAACTGTGGGGTTTTGATCCACCCATCATGAAAACTGCGGGGTTTTGACCCACCCATGACAAACTGCAGGGTTTTGATCCACAGATAATTAAAACAGCGGGGTTTTGACCCCCCATTTTGCCCAAGAATCCAACTTCGCCCGGCCTCTAGGCGGCTCTTTACCTGGAGCAGCTGGCCTTTCTCCGTCCACTTCCCCGCCTGCACGAGCGTCGAGCGCATCGAGCGAGCGGGGAGTCCGGGAGAGAGGCCATGGCGAAGCCGTGGATAGGACGCAAGGCGGGGTTACTAAAAATATGAAACAACAGGGGGAGAGAGAGAGAGTTATATATACATATACATATGTGTATATATATATACACGCATAGATACTTGTTTGTATGCCTATATATATATATATTTATGTATGTGGTACTCCCTCCCCTCGCCCCCCTCCCCCCTTGGAAAAGAAAAAGAACAAAAAACACACCCCAACAGAATTTGACGGTATTTACACTGTTTTTATGTGATGTCCACCCTCTTTTTAGGCACCTCAATTTTGACAATCTAACTATGCCTGCTTCTGCGCAGTTGACTGCAACTCTATCCGCAAAAAACGCTTTAAAGCGCTTTAAAGCATTTTCGGATCCAATATATAAGATTCAAGATTCCCAGCACTCCAGATCTGGAATCTTGGATACAGTATGCGGCAGGACCAGTGGATGAGTGTTTGCAACCGGCCGTCCTTTGGAGATGCTTATGTTGTTTCCTTTGAATCTAAAGTTGACCTTTGAAAGATCTTTGACGAGTTTTCTATGGTTTTGTCAATTTTCGATCCACGGGAAAGTGTTGTGTGGACTCTGCTGTCTTCAATCCTAGATCCAGCGCGACATATTTCAAGTTGCTTGAAGCACTTCAAGGTTGTTTTGACAAACTGTCATGCTTCGGATGAGGCTTGTTTTTGCTAGGGCTGTTTTTTTTGTCCTATGGATCTGGAGTTGCCTATTGGTTCTGATTGGCAGGGAGTTGGGAGTTGCTCTAAGTTACGGGGGTGGTTTGGGGTTGATTTAGGCCTAAATCAACCCCAAACCACAGCAAAACCCGCCCTCATGACGATCTAAGCCAGCCTAACCCCCCCCCCATTTTTTTTAACAACAATTCAGCCCATATACATATATATATATATATGTATGCCCCCCCCGCCCGCCCCCCCCCCCAAGTCAGGTCATTTTAGATGGATGTTACCGAAAGTGGACGCTTTTGCCAATGTAGCAGACTTGCGCAGATGATTCATTAAGATGATTTAACGCGTTTTGGGGGCCAGCAAAAGCAACATCTCGTGTGTGGAGGGGGTGCATACTTTCTATTTTATATATATATATATATATATATATATATATATATATATATATATATATATGTACACATGTCTATATGTATATATAGATATATATCGAGCCGAGCACACACCCCTTCATGGGCAAAACACATAGCCTGAGGATTGAAGCTCAACTGTCTCTTCGTCGCGGAACATGAGCCTGCACCAAAGACATGAGCACAAATGCATTGGCCACTCCAGGATGTATCTTGTTCGAGGGTACCCTTTCTGGGTTTGGGCTTCAAGGGAAAGCAATCGGAAACCACCGCGTTTGGAGTTCCCCTGTTTTGAGACAACACCTAATGCCTGCCTGCCAAAGTCGAACCTTGACGGCTAGCCTTTTGGCAAGTGGACAAGGGGTGGGAAATGTCTTTCCAAAACTATTTTGTACACGTTCATGATTCTTGGAAAGGGGGGTACCCTTCTGCACATTAACAAGAACTTGGAAGGCTACAAGTGGCACCCCTTCATCCGCCGCTTTTAGTTTTTCCATTTTTTTCAAATCTCCGCTAAACACGTGTTGCTCCCTTTGCTTTCAGGTGGCGGGCGCTGCAGTCAGCACGCTTGGTGTGATCAAGGTGCGGTGGCGGTGGCAGTGGTCCCAAGATCTTATCATGTCATGATTGATTTTTAGTGTCACTCACTTCCAGAGTGGATGGGCCAAAGAAAAGTCTCAACTGTTATTCACCACCAATATGATCTTCCAAAAAAAATAAAGTCCAGGAACTCAGGAAGAGGTCTTTGTCATCATCCTTCTTTGCCAATTTTGCTGCGGATTTCTGGGAGACATGGGGGGCATTTGTTTGTGGGTGGGAAACCACGATTGTTTGGCGGGTTCACTTGTTTTGACACATACGCGCATTCATTTCGAAAAGTTACTCAGGATCAAACGCCACAAAGTTCCCGGTAGAGTCCAACGTCTGGACAAACATTGATAATTGGCTGTGGGTCAAAACCCCTGGCACCCCTGGTGAACATCAAAAAAGGTGGTACATGGGTGTTCATCCGCCCAAAATGGAGAAATGCATAGGTTATGACCCATGGCCAATTCTCTGATTGGTCCGATCCCTTCAAAGTCACAGGGTAGAAACAATTCTTTCCATGGCTTCAAAGTGCGAAGGAAATTCGCAACCATCCCGCTGTCAAAAGACACCATTTGCACCTCGCCCCCCGATTTTCCGTGGGCTAGGGCTATGATCTAGTAGGAAATCATAAATTTGGAGGGGAACACCCCTGCGCCCATATTTACAAACAGGAATTGATCTAGGTCCTCTCTGCTGGAGGTTAGAATAAGGGTGCCAACTTTGTTCTGTAGTCTATTTTAGTCGGGGAACCCTCCCAACCAAAAAAAGGGTGAGAAAGGGCACTGGGGTCCAAGTTCAAGGAGGTAAATAAACCCCTTTTTGCCCCCCCCCCCCCCAACAGCCCCACTTGGACCATCTGGGCCATTGAAACAAACAGAATTTGAGGAATCCCAGGTTCCCATTGCCAGACCTCCCGACTCCCCCGTCACCCGAAAAATCGCCACCTTGGCGGCGTCGGAGAAGGAGCAGCGCCGGCGTACAGAAATTCGCCCCAACGCCTGGTAGTACCTCTTTCGACGTTGAGGACGTCCCACGTCCACGGAGAAAAGAAAAAAAAACACACACACCCAGGGCGGTCCGCAAAGGCTTTGGCGTCCTTTTTGTTAAGGGCGACCCCCCAAAACCCCCAAAAAATGGCTTAGGGTTTAGGGTTTAGCCTGGAGATTCATTCTTCATGAATTTCCTGGTAGTTCTCGTCTTTAACTTGCTTTTCCTGAATCTCGATGTCTTTTTCGTGAAGTCGCCTAAAACTACTAAACCTCTCCATACGCTCGCGAGAATCCAGAATTGGTCCCTGTTACGTGTTCCTCGTCCAAAACGCCCGCAAAAAGCCCTCAAACGCCCGCAAAACCCCGCAAAACCCCGCAAATCCGAAAACAAAAGAAAACATGTTTTTTGGGTTTGTGGGGTCAGCCCAAACTCCTACAAATCAATTAGAACGCCCACCACGCCCAAAACTACCAGGAAACCAAAACGCCTAGGAAAAGGCCGAAGAATGAATCTCCAGGAGGGTTTAAAAAATGGTGGGCGTTGTCTGTTGGCTTTCCGTTAACACCACGAAAAAAGAAGCCCTTGAAAACTGCCTGTACAGTGTGTGTGTATACATCTCCAATTAGGAATGTGCCAGGGCGGGTGCTTCCTTTTGAGGGCCCGAGTCAGCTACGTAAACCACCGCCGCCCATGAGTCGAAGCGCTTCGAGTCGGCAAGTTCCCGCGCACAATTTGCACTTCTTCACCTCGATCTCTAGGAGCCTGCCAAGGAGACGGAAAAAACTGACTCGAAGGGCCGACATCGGCTCCGGCACATTGACCCATGCCGGCGCAGTGAGGCCGCGTGGCTTTATAGCTTTTGATGGACCCAAACTGTGTTGGGGATATAAATCCAATGTGCACCATTGTGCTTTGCCTTACGACACTCAAGCTCGGCAATCTTGAAAACCTATGAACAGGCTAAGGCAAGCCAATCTCTATGTTGAGATCTGTCACAGAGCTCGCTAAACCAATGTAAAAATGATGTCCACCAAGGCGTGCGCCCAACTAAATTCATGTGCCAAAGATGCGAAGTGGAACCTGCTTTTGCCAGCCATCGGAAAAAGCCTTGTGCTCGAATTACCTGCACGGCTGTGAAGTTTGCTTTTCTGAGCCCGGTGAGCAGATAGTTTTGATCTGTAGTGATCTTAGTCTTCCAGAACCTTATTCTGAAAAATCCTGATAGTCACATTCTGTCGTGTCTTAAAGTAGGGGAAGCCCAAACATGATTCTTTAAAGCAACCCCAAAATGAGCACCCTCAAGAAAAGACACACACACACACACCACATGAGGGGCAGGCAACCAGGCAACCAGGCAACCAGGCAACCAACCAACCAACCAACCAACCAACCAACCAACCAGCCAGCCAGCCAGCCAGCCAGCCAGCCAAGCAACCAACCAACCATCGACCGACCGACCGACCGACCGACCAACCAACCAACATACCAGCCAACATACCAGCCAACCACCAAACCAACCAGGCAACCAGGCAGCCAAACAAGCAGACAAGCAACCAGCCTTTTCGGCCATAGGAGCCGGGCTGTCTTGAAGTGGTGTTGTTTCCTTTTTGGTGCTTGCCACAATGCCTCGACAAATCCGAATGGCCTTGTCTCAAACTAGGATTCGGACCGCAAAACATGGTTGGTTTGCTTTTGCCCTCACTTTACCCCTACAAATTCATCCAACCACAATACTCTGAGCCGTCGCTTCCAGGAAGGGTCGAATCTCCGGGGTACATGTTGAGCCCCTTCCGGGCTTGGTCCACGGCCTTGGCTCCGGTTTGGTGAGAGAATCACTCTAGGGCTTGATTCCTGGTCTATTCCTTTCAACCGTGGTTCTTTTCAAAAACCGGAAAGCTGTTTCCCCTAAAATTCTGATGGTTTTCTGAAAAGATTCGGATCCCTGGGTTCCGAATGGGGAAATGTTCCCCTAGAATCCCCTTCCAAGAAGCTGAAAGGTCGAAGGTCCACCGCCCAGCGCACGGCCCTAAGGCAAACCAGACTTCCTGAACAGTGTCGACACCCTCAAGACGTCCCTTTCGGCTGCATAAAAAAGGAGTGAAACGGTGAGTGGCTGCGACCATTGGCTGTTGATACCCCCATCAGCGTTTCGCGTTTCGCATCAACATGTCTCCGACAATCCCAAGAAAAAAAAAAGAAGAAGAAAAAACAGAAGGTCTCCGGGTTCAAAAGCTCCAGGCCCTAAGATCTGGTGAAGACCCCTGGAAAAATAAAACAAATATGTCCGGTAGTGATAAATTCCTCTTAAAACCAACAAGGGAAAATCACAAACATAGTCTTAAGCAAATGGAAGTACACAACAGCTTCCGAACAATGCCAAGCCCAGACCCTCGGCGAGCGCCTCAGGAAGGGTGCAGGGCCGGGCTGAGTGGTGAAGGCCCACCCGCTCCTGACAGATGGCGAGTCCACGTGAGTGACGCTAACCCCAGCTGCCAACTAGGTCCTTCAGTAGAGAGGGGGCTGCCAACTAGGTCCTCCAGATTTGAGAGGTTAGAATAAGGGTACCCGATTTTTTCTGTAGTCTATTTTAGTAGGGGAACCCTCCCCCAAAGAAGGGTAACAGGGCACTACTGGGGGACCTAGCCAACTTACACGTGTGACATGGGCAAAACTTGGCCCCGAACCGCTGAGCTGCCCAAAGGACCTGGAACTAAAAGGTGAACCTTGGGTCATATGAGCAAATCTTGGAACCTGCCCCTGAAAAAGGTTGCAAGGCACAACTTGCAAAACCCGTCTTAGTGGTTGATCCAAGATTTGTAGGCGGCGTCCATGGTAAATGGGCTAACCAGAGTTACTACTCACTTCCTACATCGCCGATTGCCTTCCCAACTTTGCAGTTTTGAGATGTTGAAACCTATATGGCCCCAAACCGGATTCGGCTTCCGCTTGAAAATCCGACGTTTCCCAAAGGTGGCAACTTTTGGACCTGGCTGAAACCTCTGGCCCTCGTCCGCTACCATGTTGCCAAGCAAAAGATGTCTTTGTGTGTTACGTTCAAAGGTTTCAGAGGGGATAACGTAGCACCTGACAGGGGTCCCTTCAGAAGGACATTGATCCGCAGGCGCTGCATTCGCGGAAGGCAGGGCAATGCACTCGTTTTCCCAAACACCCAGTGGGAATTAATTCCATGAACAAAAGGGCGCTGTTGAACCACTGTCTTTAGGGTATAGCGCTTTGTTGGTTTTGTTTAAAGTTTAAGGATTCCTCAGGGTGCTAAAAAACCGTTGTTCAAGTTGGTTGAAGGGTCGGGGCTCTTGGCTGCTGTGCACACGGCAAAAATTGGGCCCCTTGCTGGTCCTGTGCCTTGGTTTCGGAAAGCTGAAGTTGCCTTGTTGACGCCGTGGAATATGTGCACATTGACATGACATAATAATAATAATAATTAATAATAATAATACTAATACTAATAATAATAATAATAAAAAAAATAATAATAATAATAATAATAATAATAATAATAATTATTAATAATAATAACAATAATAATAATAATAATAATAATAATAATAATAATAATAATAATAATAATAATAATAATAATAATAATAATAATAATAATAATAATAATATATTTATTTATATATATACACATATAATATACATAAACACACATGTGCGTACGGGTCGCTTTTTTTTGGGGGGTGTCCTTTTCTGGTTGGTTTCAAGAGAACCCAAAAGGAAAACCGCATATTTTTGGGCACCCCTGTTCGAGATCAAGCCGCATAAATACGCATAACTACAATTATCCAACTGATGCCCGATTTGAATACTGTGCCTCGAACCACCCCAACTCGACACTCGTCCAAAACAATATGTTAAGACTTAAGATTTCTAGGGGTTGATTCCCCATTCTTTTCAACCATCGTTTTTTTTTCAAGGCAGCTGCTTCCTCAGGGCCTTTGGGTGGTTTTGTAGAAAGATTCGGATGCCTGGGTTCAGAATGGGAAGGAACCCCTAGATTCTGCTTCATGAGCCCACGTTGAGTCGACCCCAGCTTTGGGGAACAAACTCTGTGAAAGAAAAACAAAACTCACGTTTCATGCCTAGGCCCCCGAGGAAAAAAACACCTGATTCACGAAGACGGCCCCAGTTCAGGGGCTTCAATGAAGCCAGGCTCACCCGCTGGGCGTCTCCACGCGGAGAAACACCTCAGTCGGAGAGCAGACTTCGGCCGGCCGGTTCCACTGGTGATTGGTGTGGTGTTATGTGTGTGTGTGTGTGTGTGCATGTGGGGGTTGATCAATATTTCTTGGCCCCAAATGACCATAGGCAACTTTTCCTATTTAGTGGGGAAAGTCATTTTTTCTTGTGGTTTCCCTGATGGTCGTCGTAAGTAAAGGACCTTTGATCACCACCCATGTGTCAAAATAGGGGGTCCAAACAAATGGCTGTTCTCCTGTCGGTGTCCCGTTTGAGACCACCCTCGAAACGAATACCCTCAAAACCACACCTGTGCACGCACCCATGTGGCTGTGGTTGTCAAAACCGTTTTTGGATATTCACGACCCATTTTAGCCTACAGTGGGGATTGGGATCTTCACTGGGCCTACGATTTGGATTTTGACCCATGGCCATGTTGCTCTTGCTCTGGATGCTCCCCGCTGTCAGCTTCCAAGTGCCGGGAAGAAATCGACTTGGACCATTTGAGCAGACCTGTGGCCCGGACCATTGCCAGGACCCTCGTCAGGTAAAATCTGGTGGACATATGGCTGTGGGTCAAAACCCCACTGGTGAACATCAAAATAGCTGGCAAATGGATGTTCCACCTCAAAATGGGATCGCCATAGGTTATGCAACCCATGGCCATGTGGGGATTCATGTCCACTGAGATGGTCCGCCATTGAAGCTCCACGGCGAATTTCCGTGCGTCTCAAAATAGGGGGGCCCTTTTTGGAGGGCTTTTTTTTCAGGGGAAGCAAAAGGACACCTGGTCTGGATGGATCCCTAATTTTGAGAAACGCCAATTTGCCGGCAGGTAAACCGATCTCTGCTTCCTCTCCCCAACGAAAACCGGAAGACATGGAGTCGCATTCTCCAGACACATCCGGACCCCCATTTCAATTCATCTTCCCACTGCAAAAACATATTTCTCCAAGAGCCGTTTTTCCCCAACACGCAACGATCAAAACCTCACTTGCGTTCACTTGCCTGGGCTGACATGCCCTGCTACAAGTCTAACTTTGGGCAAAGTGGCCCATGCTCAACAGCTGAAAAGGCCCGAATGGACTATTGAGGTTCAACCCCCCCCTTCCCCCCGCCATGTTGCCATACTGTTTGGGAAAATAGATGGCCCTGGTCACTGGAATACAACCAACCTAAACCAGTGCCATCTATTTCTAACCAAAATAACCTATAAAGGACACCTATGCATGTTTCACTTGTGTTTCCCCCGAGCCAAAAGAAGCGCCCCAACTGCCTCACCCCACCGGCGGGCGCCCAGGCGGTGTCCGCGCCCTCGCGACGCTCCAAGACTTCCACCACCTGCATAGGTGGGAGGAGAACACGTGGGTGTCGCCATGTTTGAAGGAAAGTGGGTTGTTTAAAGGAGGACCAAAAGGAAACCACTGGTTTTGTTTGGGCATTGGAAGTCCCCGAACTTCAAGTGGGGACCCTGTGGTGGACATCCGGGAGGTGAAAATTGAGGTCCACCAAGCGCACTTGAGGAGGTGTCCTCCTTTACAAAAGCAACCAAACAAAAACATAGCCAGACGGGTCTGCCTCAAAATTGTTGACGCAAACAACA